TCTTTTCTTGATTCGCAAGCTGGATCCTGTGCGACTTTACGTGTCAGTTCACCTGGGGCTTATCAGGAGGGTCGCGGTGCTAACTTGCAAATCCTTTGCAGTTCACTTGCAGGTCGAGGTGGGTCAGAAATGAGTCCGTTTTGCGATCCTACGATCGCACGAAAAGGATATGAATGCGGCCTAACGTAGAGCCGGCGTTGTTGAGGTGGTAGGAGCGGTCGTTTTGGGCCTTACTTTTCATATTTCAAAGGAATGGCACGGATACGAGACTTTTGTTACGAATGGGGCTTGTCGAGGGAGCATATTTACAGCTTTTGGAGAAGTGTTTCACGATTATGCATTGCAGGCGGGAATTTGCTGAGCCGGGGAGAAGTAGCTTCTTGTCTCTTGTCCTGTGGAAAATGGAATTGCGCGAGATCGTAATGACTTCATACCTTGAGCAGCGACTCAGAGACTCAGAAGATTCGGTGATTTCTATAAAATGATTTGGTGCACATAGATCAGTTTCCTGCACTAGTCAGGTGGGCGATTTCGCGATTCGGCACTCAGGCGATAAGTCGATTCGACAATTGAGCTATCCTTGTGACCTACATGTACGCATTCCTCTTTTCATAATTCTTTTCATAATTGCATAATCACCCAATCTCCTATCTGATGAGCCAAATGTTCATTCGCGTAGTACATATGGACGACCTTTGGATTTGTGTTGTGATTAATACTCGGCTGCAGTCTCCTTTTGAACTCTTTCTTTATGAATTTTTATGCCAGCAATTGTTCATTGAACTCTGCGACTAGTTTCGTCTACTCACTTTTCCAAGCGATGAATAAGATGCTCCATCACAAATACCGCATTGAAACAGCACCGCGCGAGAGTTTGAGTGTTTAATCAAGTTTTTTATTGCTTTCGAAAATTTTCGAAATTCAGTGGTACATTGCTGGTGTGGGGTATGTTGTTTTGTTTGACAGAAATGAACAAAATTTCATTTAGGAGTAATTTTCGAGAAACACGCTATAAACTTCCCTCGTCACGGTTATGAATTTCATTCTTTGCTTCTTAGATGCTAATTTCTGATTTGAAATAGTTCTTAGTGTTTGTTAGTTTCTATTAGTTGTTAGTTGCTGTTGTAGTTGTCAGCATTACGTACTTGCTATAGTCCAGTTCCACGTATCATCGCATGGCCTCTAAATTCAGGCCTTATGCTTCGAAACTTGAATGCTTTTTTCAGGGGTAGGGCATGGAGGAGAATGTGGCTTCTCCTGTCTACGCTGTGTATTATCCAGCGGATATTGCGAAGTCCCCGCGGAATGTCTTCATGACATTGAAGGAAGCCGTCAGTTTTGCCAATTCGCCTGAAGGAAAGTCTAAAGGTTGGTGTACTCTATCAGGTTATGTTTCCACTTATCGAGTTCATGGCTTGAATATTTAGTGCGTCTATCTTAATAGTTTTCTTTTTTTAATTATCGCTGTTAACATTCCGTTAATCACTCTCGACAGGCCTAAAGCACATTTGTCGTTCCTTGATGACCCTCCGCGCCTCTTCTCGGAGAAAGGTAAAAGGGCGGAGAGACGGGAAGGGTAAGTATAAGTCGAACGTCCATAGCTTGCGGATCGAGCGATTTGCTAGCGAATCGCCGATTGGCAACTACTTACGCCGGCCTAACAGAGTGAAACGTCGAACGTATAAACAATCCCTCCTCAGGCCTGTTTTAAGCCGCGATCCGCGCAGTATAGTGTGGTTCAAACTAGGACAGACCCAGCGAAATTTTCGCCTTCGCCCAGCGAAAATTTTTCTTGCGAAAACCCAAGGTGCAACTTTGATCATCATTGACCCCAGGTTCTGATTGAAAATCATATGGACTCGAGGTTTTCGCAGGCGAGAAATCGTTTCGCGCTGCGAAACGCGAAAAATTCACTTTCTGTGCTAGTGAACCACACCCACAGGTTTCGCTGGTTTTCGCGACTTGCGCGATTCACGCGGTTCACGCGACAAATCACAATGCCTCGATCCCCTACGCGCATAGTGTTCTGCAACCCTGCGCACTTCTGTGATATGATGGCTAGAATGACGACTGCTCATGATCCAGTCCTTGTTCATATTCAGTGTCTCACATAATTTGCCAATGGGCAACTTGCAATTTTGCAATTGAGCGAAACCCGCCAATCGCGAAAATCGCGTGAATCGTGCGAATCGCGAAAATCAGCGAAACCTGGGACGGATCGTGAACTCTGACATCAGCCTAACGTTTGACACTTTCAGAATTCCAAAAAGCATTGACAAGCTTCCAGGTCGATCAAACCTCCACCCTTTTAACGGCACTTGAACGCATGCCGACCCTAGCTGCTTTGATTTGTATTTGGTAATGTAATTTTTGGCCTCCCATGACGCATGTGCTCAGACCATTTGCTTACCAAAATATGATACGATTAACTCCTCAAAGGTGGTTATACAGGGCGAAAAGATGTAGTGGAAAGTGGCGCTGCTTATACGCGCGCGTTCCGAGTATCAAATCCTGAGTCGTGCGTCGTCCGCGCCAAACAACCGTTACATTCTCCCCAGGTCAAGTAGTCGGTACCAGACTTGTCTGATATTATAACAGCACTGACTTGTGTATCAGCTGTTTCCAAAAAGTCACAGTCCCAGGTCCAAATTGCGTAATTACCTTTTACGATTCTGATGAAGCTATATAGATCCGTGCGCATCCACCAACAGTCAAAGTTCAACGCCGAATGCTTTACCATTTTATTGCTGATCGTGATTCAATTAGGCGTATTGGATTCAGTACTTGGTGGAAGTGAGGTAAAGAGAGGTAGAGTGTAATAATCTAAGAAGGATCCGATTCTGTAAATAAGCCGTGTTACTTTGCACGTACATAGCGCTTTAGACGAAGACGGCCTGTGATTCATTTCTTGTGCTTTTGATATGAATGAGAATTTCCACTCGGTTATTTTCAAGTAGTTCAAATTCAGGTGCACGTTTCAACCGCTTTGGAACACCAAAAGAAGCAATGGACTTTTTTGCTTCCGGTGAATGCCGGAGTCCTCCTCCACAACCTGCGACACCGACTTTGATATCAGAACCAACAATTCCACATCCATCAGTTAGTCGCATCGACATGAACAAATTGAAGAGGGCTATTGAAAAGGAATCGGTGCAGGCAGTTTGGTGAGTAGTTTCAAATGTTTCAATAAGTAGACTGTTGTTTTTAAGAAAAAAGTATTCATATCATAGAGATTCTTTTCAGTGAGCTCGTTAGTTCGAATCCAAGATTCCTTGTTAACACCAATGGTGACACGGCGGCGATAGTGATGGTATGAATCCCTTTCTGCTCACTAGTTCTTGTTTTCTTCTGTTGTTTGCATTTGAAAAATGCTTCTTAGGATACGATTGTTTTTTCACGGATATGATGGAGGATAGCCCTTTTTTCCGGTTGCTGAATGTATTGTAAAAAGTTGGAAGCTAATATGGCTCTTTCTCCCACCGCAGAATGCAATACCCCGCTTTGTCTATTGACAAATCTTTAACCCCGTTTCTCATTGGTGAATCTGTCAGCAAAAAGCGCTTTCTGCTCAAAAATCCGTGTTTGTAATAAGACCTCTAGCGTCTAGCCTTCGTTCTGTTTCTTTAGAAAATTTAGGTGTAACGGATCTGTAAAACTGCCTGAAATACCA